ATCTCGCAGACTCGGCTGACAGTGACGATCTTCTGGTTCTTATGACTTCGACTTGTGGTGATGGTGATATGCCTTCTGCGGCGACTGCTCTTTGGGAGGATATGCTGCAAATGGATGGTTCCCAGAAGCTTGCAGGTCGCTTCTGCGTGTTCGGCCTCGGGGATAGCTCTTACGATAAATTTTGTGCAGCTGCGGTGAAACTTGAAGCAAGGGTGGCTGAACTCGGCATGAGCTCCGTCATTCCGTTGGCGAAGGGAGATGATCGTGCCGAAGATGGATGGGCTACTGCCTTCGATGAATGGCTGCCGAAGTTGTGTGAAGAGGTTGGTGCGAAGCCTGAAGACGAGGAGGAACCTGAGGCGCTCTTCGAGGTTACGTCCTTACCTGTCACTGCTGCTGACAAGAGCCTTCCCTACCAGCGCATTGTGCCTCCAGGATCTCAGGCCGTACCGGTTCTAGAGAACAGACGCTTGACTCCGGAATCGTATGAGAGGGATATCCGTCACATCGCTCTGGACATCTCGGCTGCTGATTTGCCCTTCCGTCTCGGTGATGCCATTACCCTTTACCCGAAGAACTTGGAGTCGGACGTCGACCTACTGTTCAACGAAATCGTCACTCATCTTGATCGCAACGAGATCCTCTCTGTTAAGTGTCTGTCCGATGACGTTCCTGCCAGGCTCAGGTCGGCTTTCAAGTCGCGAATTCCTATGAAGCAAATCTTCGTAGAGTTGTTGGATATCTTCGGCAAGCCTACTAGGAGTTTCTATCGCCAGCTGGCTCGTATTAGCAAGAGCGAGGAGGACGTTCAGGTTCTCAACTCTATCGCGAACTCGGACGATCGTTTCAAGGAACTATTGGGCAGGAGTGTGTCCTACGCGGATGTGCTTCGCAGATTCCCGAAGTCCACTGAGTCGATGACGCTGGTTAACTTCCTTGAGATCATCCCTTTGTTGAAGCCTCGACTTTACTCTATAGCCAACAGCTCTTTCTACACTCCGAACAAGGTCGAGCTGACTATTGTTATCAACCGGTGGCAGAATTCCGAGGGTGATCTCAAGACTGGCACATGTACACGCTACCTAGGGTTCAGCAACGACAAGACCATGTGCGTTTCCGTTGCTAGTGGTACATTTACTTTCCCTGAGGATGAACATACACCGATGGTCATGGCAGGGCTTGGTACTGGTATCGCTCCTATGCGAGCCTTTGTTCAGGATCGCATGTACAAGAAGCAGGTCCTTGGGATCGAAACTGGCCCGATGGTGGTATTCTATGGCTGCCGTCACGAGAAAGGAAGAATTCCTCTATCGCGAGGAATGGAAGAAGTTTGAGGAAGCTGGTGTGCTAACAAAGATGGTCAATGCGTTCTCGCATGATCAAGATCATATGATATTCGTGCAGCACAGATTGCTGAGAATCCCGAGCTTATCTACA